TATATATATATTATACATGTATATTGTAGCCTCAATTTCCTGTCCATTCCCCACTATCCGCCCCTCCCATATGCCTTTCAGCATCTGTGCAACCCTATGCATCTCTACCACAGATTTTATATTCCCATACACTCCGTAGTTAGTCTCAAGCCCAAAGCTCTAAACCCGAAACCCTAAACTCCAAACCTTAATGCCCAAACCCTAAATCCTAAGCCCTAAAGCCTAAACCCTAAACCCTACATACCCTATATATCCCCTCTGAACCCCTTGAAAGGGATCCTATAGTATGCCCCCATATAACCCCTAGAATCCCCTTTTAAACCCCTTTAGACCTAAACCCTAAACCCCCCATATATCCCTATATGTCCCCCTGTAAACCCTTTTAAAGGGCCCCAGGGAAGCCCCAAGGCCTCTGAGCGTCTCTGGGGTTTCGACCACCTCGGGTACCGCCTCGCTCTCCGGAGCGGGCGGAAACGGCAGCGCTGCAGGCGGAATCGAAGGGCTTTCAGGGCACCATGGGCCTGAGTTCCCCCCTAAGTAGATAGGTTTAGGGTTTAAGGTTTAGGGTTTAGGGATTAGGGATTAGGGTTTAGGGTTTAGGGTTTAGGGTTCCGTGAAGGAAGTTGGGATTAGGGTAGATGTAGATTGCGTTTAGGTTTCAGGCTTAAGGTGTATACCACACCAAAGCACCTTACACCTTAAAACCTAAACTGCGGTGAGAAGGGTTTAGAGTCGCCTAGGTGCTCAAGCTAAGCATCCCCAAAGATCTCGACTTCGAATGGCAGTGCTAGTGGGTTTAGGGGGATTTGTGGCTTGGGGTTTAGGATTTAGAGTTTAGGGTTTACGGTTTAGGATGCGGCATGCGTAGCACCTCATGGATTTCTGAAATTCGTACTCGTGGGCACATTGTTGCTCAGAAATTCAGGATATGGGAGTTTCTCAAAATATTCACTACAGAACCCCTGCTGGAGACCCCATTTTCTCTTTTCTGAGTTTGAAATAGGCCTTCTCCCTAATCCAGAAGCCCACAATCTTCGCCCGCAAACCTTGGCCTCTCAAACACGGCTAGGGTTTAGGGGTTGAGGGTTTGAGAGGTTTAGGGATTTAGAGGTGTAGGGTTTTCTTGGTGTTTAGGGAGAATTTAGGGGTGCAAGGGGTTCAGGTGTTTAGGGGCTTAGGGCCTGAGTCCCTGATAAGGCCAACTCATTAGTTTAGGTTAAGGGTTTAGGGTTGAGGGTTTAGGGAATTCAAGAAGTTCCACTATTACCGCCCCAAGGTCACCGCTTGATGAAGGTTATTTGAGATGATTAAGGCTACTTAAAGGGAGCGGAACGCAGCCAGGCTACCCGCCGCTGTCTCTTGGGTTGTGAGGGAAAAAAGGATGGTTTTCAGCTTCTCCGTCTCCTGAAACCATCCAACAAGCCCCCCAGGGGTCGGCGGATTGTATGATTGTAATTTCTTATCGTATTCCGATAGTGAACGGTTTTGGGGCTTAGGGTATCCTCTTAATCTTGCCATGTGGAGTGGCACGGTCAAAATCATAGTCTCTTCCGGGGTCCAGGTTCTAATGCAGCCACGCCCCCACTCTCCTTTGAGCACCAGGCAGGAAGCAACCCCTTACCCCCAGTCCTTATTTCCCCACCGGAAACCCTAAACCCAAGATCCTAAACCTTAAGCCTTAAAGCTTGAACCTTAGACCTAAAGCCTAGCCCCAACATCCTCGACCATAAGCCCTTAATCCTACACGGTAGTTTCCCAACATAAGGAGATCCCAATATAGACCCTACAATATTATAATCCTTATTATAGGGGGCCCCCAGAAAAGGTACCCCTAATTTTGGGAAACTCCCACACCTCAATCGTAAACCCAACAAGCCCTGAAGAGGCGGCATGACTTTGAACGTGCTGCTTCAGGGAGAGAGGCCCGTTTTAGGGCTGCAGGGATACAGGGCTTAGGGTTAGGGGTTTAGGGTTTAGGGCTCGAGATTTAACGAGGGGGCGTAACTAATTACCATGCAGCTTGGTTGCATAGAGTTTAGGGTTTGGGTGTTGGTTTAACGGAGGTATATAGGGAACATAATGGAGTATGAAATGGATTTCGAGACCTCAAACCCCTCAATCCCTAAAGAGGTAAACCCTAAAACCCTAAACACTTATATTTTTTTTTGAGATTTGCGGCTTGAGGTTTACGTTGCCAGGTGAGGGCTTACCGCATAGGATTTAGGGTCTACGGTTTAGGGTCAGTACAAGGAACCTCCAAGAAGAGTTCACTGCCTTAACCAAAGGCGGTTGTCAAGGTTGGGGCATATAGAGGACATGGGGCCCAATACACAGGGCACTCAGAAAGTCACCATGATTTTGATAATCTGCCCAATGGTCCTTGTGGCTGAGCGTTTGGGTTTGCGCTTGCAGGTGGGTCGCGCTCCACTTCAGTCGGTGCGGCTCCCAAAATTTATCGCCCAGGTTGAGGGCTCTGCATTTGGAAAACGGCATTTAATAATCACCCAGACCCTCCACCTACCTTGTATCAGAGCTTCAGTACCCGCTATTAGTGGCCATATGGTAGTTTCCCAAAACAGGGGGACGCCAATATAGACCCGCAAATATTATGATCCTTTTTGTAGGAAGCCCGAAAAAGGTGCCCTTAATTTTGGGAAACAAACTTATCTCCCAAGTCCAGGGTCCTGAAAAGATAGAGGGATAGGGTTTAAGGTTTAGGGTCCCGCTTAGAGTCTAATGGGCTGATTATGTTAAGCAGCTGAGGTAGTTAAGAGACATTTGCAGTCTGTTGGGTCATTCCCCCTCAAAGTAGCTGAACTTTGTGGGGCCGTATTAGGGGGCTATTTTGCGCACTACCACCTTTTGTTTTAATTGGTATCTACCCTAAACCCCTCAACTGTTGTCTAAAACTATGGGGAATGATCTCCAGGTCAACCCGCCAACATTGTTTTTGTGCGTCCTTTCTAGTTGGATTTCTTGGCAGGCCTCAAGCTTGCAGCGGTCCGAGTCAATAGGGTTCAGGGTTTGGGGTCATCTTATGCCGAAGTTGAAGAGGCTACCAAAACAGAAATATCTCCTTTGGGTTCAGGGTTTAGGAGTTTATGATTATTTTCATTTGTTTTGTCAACTCAGAATTCTGAGCACTATGTTTCGCGAGATTTGTTCATTTCCATAAATGCGGGGAACTTATCATTATCCACAGTATGGAGATCCTGCGAAAAGATCGCCCTATTTTTCGGACCCTAAGTCCTAAACCTTAAAGCCTTAACACTATCTGAGTACGTGGTGGTGAGACATGATTTGTTGTGCCGCCACGGCTTGAATTGAGCCCAGCACAGAATGTACTGGGAAAGGCTCCCAGCCGCCCTGGTTCCATGTTGGATGACGCCGAAGATCTTGGTACCCTGGAAACACAGTTGGATTAGACCAGCCCGTTTCACACTCGCCATCGCGCAGGGGCCGAAGCCAACCCTGAAACTTAAACCCTGGACCATCGGAGTACCTTGATGGTGGGAAGTATATGAGGATGAGGACACCTGGGGGATCGGCAGGCCACTCTCCGCACAGGTTTAGGGTTTAAGGTTTAGGGTTTAGGGTTTATGTCCCATTTTTCATTCCCTAGTAATCATACCCTAAACCCCCAATATCCTCCGAGGGCTGACGATCTGGATCGCCGTGCGGGCGACTTCGTGCAGGCCACGAGACAGGTTCCAGGATTCAGAGTTTAGGGTTTTAGGGTTTCAGGGTTTAGGGTCTTCGGGTTAAGGGTTTTTAGGGGTTAAGGGTTTCTTGTCTAGGGAGTCGGCATATGATTCTGCGCTCAGGTGTTGTGGTTTTAGGGCGCAGTTTGAAGGTCTTCAAAAGGACTAGGAAGCACAAGGCATTTCGGTATTCCCTAAAACACTGTAAAACCCTGGCCCTAAACCCTAAATCCTAAACCCTATACACCCTGAAGCCTACACCACGTTAAATGCGTATACTGCAATGCTTCCCTGGGGGTCTAGGATCTATGGGCTTTCGATGTCAAGCCAAGGGTGGACCTTTGCACCCAGCCGGGTTTACGGGCGTAAGGGTTTAGGGTTTGGGTGCAGTGTTTGGGTTGAGTACCGCCCCCCCCCTCAGTAACAGTTCGATAATACTTATAATATGGATATAGCTCTTAATAGGACCCCTAATATAGACTGTTACTGGGTGGGGGCAGTACCCAATGTTTAGGATTGGTACTGCTTATTCAGGGTTCAGATATTAGGCTGAAGGATGCTTTTTTAGGGTTCAGGGTTCGGGGGTTTCGGGTTTAGGCTTGGGGCAAGCCCTTCTCCACCAACAACTGTACATCTTCGAATGAATGGCCACGAGATTTTAGCAATGAGGTGTTGATGTCATCCTCCGCATAGCCAAGCGGTAGGTCCAAAACAATTTGCATCAGGGTAGCTACCACGCGGCTGAGGGTGGGTATGGGGTTTAGGGTTTAGGGTTTAGGGACTTGATGTAAGCCTTATCTACCCCACATTTTATGTACCCTCAAGGGGAAACTCCCTTCATGGAGTTGGTTCAAAGAAAATATGTCCTTAAACCCAGAGCCAAGGGACATCCTCCTGCACATGAATTTCTGTGGCTCATCCTTCACAGAGCTTAGCTCATGGATTTAGGTTTCAGGGGTTTAGGGCCTAAGCCCCCTCCAAGCTTAGGCTTACTTAGGCAAAATTCAGGCCGATTGAGGCAGGTGAACGTGGAACTTGGGCACCTAAGGGGGTCGTATTTGAAGGGGGAGGTGGTTTCAGGCTTAGGGTTTAGGGATCAGGGATTTGGATTGAGGGAAAAGGGATTAGGGTTTAGGGATTAGCTTTCAGGGTTAAGGATTAACTCTTCAGGGTTTCAGGTAAGGGCCTCAAGTCTAGACATATTTCTCATGCGCCTTCTATCAACATGCGCCGGTGTTTAGGCTTCAGGGTTTTTATGTCAATGGTTTTTCGGGATAGGGGTTCAGGGTTTTTAGAGTTTCAGGGTTTGGAGTTTGAAGGGCTCAGGATTTAGGGTTGGGGGTTTGGGGTTACGGTTGGATGCTGATAGTATATACTCCGCGAGAATGTAGCGAGTGCCCTTTCCATTTCCATTCCTTCTTTCCCTACCAACGAACAGCAGCATGCCATTCTACACCCAAAACCCTAAGCCCAACAAATTCGACATACACATATTCCACATTCTTGCCTGTTCCTATGCCGTCACGTCATGGGCGTCGCCTAACCAATAGGGTTCAGGGTTCAGGGTTAACAGTCTGTGCCTGTACAAACACCCGATATGCCCAATGTTGTTTGCAGGGATTCTTGTTTGGAGGGTTCCTCACTAACCCTGACACCCTGAAATCCTACAGCCTAAAACACTAAACCCTAAACATAACATCCTAGAGTCCCCTGTATCCATATCTACCCCATTTTTCTTCCCTATCATTGTATCCCCCTTCATCGCTACTTCTGAACACCAAATCATAAACCCAAAGCCTAAGCTCAAAACATTAAATCCTGAATTCCTTGACCCTGATTTTGCTAAACCCGCAACCGTACATATCCTTACATATCCATATAACCCCTAGAACACCTTGAAACGAACACTGAACCCTAAACCGCCCCTGTGTCCGGAGGAGCAGCGCCTCTCCACGCTGATCAAGCCGGGGTTGATCCATCAGCTGCGGCAAATGGTCGGGATCCCTTTGAGGGTTTTAGGGTTTAGGGGTTTAAGGTTTGGGGGCTGTAGGGTTTAGGGGTTCAGGGTTTGGGGGATTAGGATTTCGAGATTTAGGGTTTAGGGTATGGTGTTTGAGGATTTTAGGCGTTTAGGGTTTGGGGGATTCGGATTAGGGTTCTTCAGTCATCAGCAAAGCTGACTCTGGAGTTCAGGGTTTTGGGTTTGGACATTATTGGGTTTAAGGTTTTGTAAAAAGTGCCAAAGCCCGAACCCACAAACCCCAAGCTTCAGCGTTTGGCGTCTAGGGTTTAGGGTTCAGGCGGCTGCGGACAGATTTACTTTTGGAAGGGTGCGCAGGACCGACTAGAAAAAGGGGTTCAGAGTTGAAGGGTTTGGGTTTGTGGGCTGAAGGCTTAGGCTTTTAGGGGCGTTTAGGCGCTTAGGGTCAGATGACTGTAGATTGTCCTTGCCAAGCAGCCCTTCAACTTCCTTGAGTGACCTCAAGGGGGCACTGAAAATATCCAACAAAATCACGGTCACCCTAAACCCTAAACCCTAAAGCCTCAAACGCCCCTAAACCTAGAAGCCGGGATGGCTAAAGTCACTGAACCCTTTCACCCTAGACCCTAAATCCCTAAACTCCAGCTATCCTTATATCTTATGACTTCAACTTATCACAACCGTCATGATGATGATGATGATCATCATCATCATTCTTCATTATACTTACCCAGGAGAATTCTTATTGTATCAGAAATATCAGTATCTACTAGTCCTCTCATCTTTGTAAAGCACACCTGAGGTAGCGATGAGGCAGCTTTCTGCCTCCGTGGACGTAGTCGATCTGCTGTGAGCGCACTTGCGCCGAAAAGGGGTCTGGTTTAAGGCCCCTTCAAGGGAGACATATGTGTGTGTATATAAATATACACAATTAGGGAGAGATAAGGACATGTATGGTTTAGTGTTTGGGATTGGTAGGGTTCAGGGTTTCGGTTTATGATTTATAGGGCTTATAGGGTTTAGGTGTCGACGGCTTGTGGTCTAGGTGCCTTCTTTATTTGAAAGCGCCAAGACGTGTTGATTGTTTGAGGCTTAGCGTTGGGGTTTCACGGTAGGTGAGCTGTACAGGTTTCGGCTTGAAGGGTTTGGGGTGGAAGGTGAAACGTTCTGAGCCAGAACAACGTAGATGCCTTCGATTAGCAAGATTGCTAACAACCCGTACGCTTCCTAATGTATTACAGAGAACACAATGGGAACATCTAATGTTGTGGGGTGAATGTAAGTAGAACCCTAATATTACGCCAATGGGTACTACTATAGATTCCCATATAACCCTATAATCCTCATATAACCCTCATGTAACCATGTATGATCCCCTATACAGTAATCCCATCCATCCTGCATTTGAAACTAGGGGACTACGGTGGACCCGTCGCCTTCAGGTCCAGGAGCCTAGCTTAAGGATTTTGAGGTTTAGAGGGTTAGGGTCCCTAAGCCCTAAAACCTAACCCATAAACCCTCAACCCGAAAACCCGGTTTGGGGCCTAGGGGTTTGCTAGTGGACTGGGGGTACCAGAATCCCGTTATCATTCTCACTTCATGGGTTCCCCTACTACCCCCTAGGTGTTGGGCCTGGGGTCCCCTTTTGTCAGCCTTCATTACTGTTAATTTTCTTCAAAAATTTTTAAGGGGGAACCTATAGGGGTCATTATTATGGGGGGGTGTAGTAGGGAAACCCATGATCAATGGTGCGAAAACTGCATCAATTTATGTGAATTCACGTGGGCAATCTGTCCGATCTCCAGTTCCTGCACTTTCAAGGCCACTTTCAAAGGAGATGTTTTGATTATATGTGGGCCATATCATATAGCCATATGCGGGCTCGATGGTTTAGGGTCAGTGGGGCTTAGTAAGTAGATTGAGAGTGGGCATGGCTGGGGAAACAGTGATGACTGTATGTCACATAGGGTTATAAGTATCTGGGCAAGTTTCAGCGAGCTCAAACGAGCTCACTCCAACAGTTACTATAAGAAACATACCGTAAGGTCTTTGATTCAGGATCATGAATGAAGCAGTAACATTTGCCCAGAAGTGTTTTCAAAGTCCTCCCGTACCTGCCAAACAATGATCCAAAAGAATTGCCCCTAAACCCTAGAGCCGAAACCCTGACGCTCTGCGCCCTAGGTTCTTTGGCAACGAGCTGTTGTCGACCGCGGCTGCTTCTGCTCAGCTCGCGGGGTTTGGGAAAGGGGCCGGGACGAAGTAACGTTCGTAGCAAATGCTTCTGGGAGGCCTTGCTTGGCGACAAAACGCTGACTGTGTGTTACGGGTGTCTGACTGTGTGGCGGAAACAGCACAGTGCTGATAGTCAGCATTTTCCTTTCTGTGTCAGGGCACATGCTCCACGACGTTTCATTTTACCCGAGAGTTTCCGTAGAAGTTTCCTAGAACAAATGCGCTGGATTTGCACGGTTTTTACTTGCAAAGTTCGGCAGAGACTTTCGGGCTAAATGAGCGGTCGCAAAAGCTTGTGACCTGACGCGCAAAAGAAAATGCCGACTATCAGCACTGTGCTCCTTCCGCTACACCCTCAATCACCTGTAAAACGCAGGACTCGGCATTCTCAGAAGAAAGGCGTTTTGTGGCCGTTGTGCGATGCGTACTCGGTGCAAGCCTTCAAGAGCGCTCTGGGCAGGCGCAAGCTTGGAGTGTCCAGAACGCACATATTTGTTTCCCCTGCGGCCCCTGCGTTTTACTTTACAGCGCGTTCTTCGTTTGGCTGGGCTTCTTGGGCTTCTACACGAAAAGCAGCCTTCCGCTTCAAGCATTCGGACATCGCAGTTTGCCCATAAGAAACCAAGATTTCGACATAACTCACCCTCATAAAAATCTTTTCTATCCGTGCGCGTCTAGATATGCGATACTCATACTTCTTCTCTTTGGTCGAGGCCCTCGAAGCGCTGTAAGTTCCAGGAGTTTGTGCTTCCTCACAGAAAACTTAATGTCGAGGATCCTTGCTTCCTTCGGAGAACCCCTACAGCGCAGCACACCCTAAACCCGAAACCCTAACCAGCTGCAACGCGAAACCTTAAACCTAAATCCCAAAATCCCAAACTCTAAAAACTTAAACTTGAACCCTAAACCTACGTAGCCTGTCCTCAGCGGGAGAGGTTGGAATTATCTGCAAAAAAACCGTTGCGAGCTTCCACGGCTGCCTTACAGACCCCAATGTATCATAATTCCGATTATAGCACGTTCACAAATGGGCCTCTCTCTCATTTGTACAAAGCCTTAACCCTACCCAATGCAAAAGTTTGGGGGTATATGATAGGGCTCTCAGGGGATGATGGGGTCTTCATTAGGGATTATATTGACATCCATATGAGCCTTTTTGAAATCGCGTACATGGTAGATGTGTGGGAGCTTCTAAAAGATCACTTCTTTCTACACCCAAATGGGGTTGCAGTTCTAATTCGCGGAAGAGCCATATAGGGTTTAGAGAGCCTTAACCCCTCATCCAAGCATCATATTCTTTTTCCGTGGTCCACAGAATAAGGATTGACACCCCAAAATGACTAAATAATCTACCTGCGTCTAGATTTGGTGATTTGGTGCTGAGGGGTATGTAGGGTAGGCGCCTAAAAAAATGACAGTACCAACCGGGGTGCCCTTTGATCGCTTCAAAGTTAAAGGGTTTGTAGGGATGTGGCGGGTGTAGGGCTCAGGACAATGAAGATGCAAATGGACAGGAACATTAAATCATCAAATGGAAAGTGGCCTGAAAGAGGGTTTATGGCGATACTTACCAATATTCAGGTCGACGGTTCCTTGCACAATCCTAAGGTACCTCGAAGTGGCCTCCACATAATACTCTTATTTGACCTTAAGAAATGCCCATTGCTTGCACGCTGGCCATGCGGTCAAAGTCAAGGCGGCATCGACGAGAAAGTCCCATGTAGTCTTGAACACTAAACCTAGGTTTAAGCCCTACGCCTCAGACCTTAAGCGCTAAAACCTAAGGCCCTAAACTCTAAAACCCTAAGCCCTTAACCCTAAATCCCATCCCGAATGAGGACCCCGATCATCCCCGGAGAGTTCTTATCATCCACCCCGCGCGTTTTGGGGATGCTTTACCCGGTTTAGGATTTAGGGTCTACACTCTCAGTATCCCCCTTAATATCCCCTATAATAGTCCGCTGTATGACCCTATATATACCCCCCTTTAAGGAGTTTAAACTCCAAACCCTGAAGCCTAAACCATAAGTAATCCCGTACATAACCCCCTCTCAGGAGTTTAGATTATAGCTCATTCGGGTTTAGAGCTTTCACAGTTGAGGGGCAATAGCAGTGTGTTTCAATCCAAATGTCATTGGTTAAATGGTTTAGGTTTAGGGGCTCTGTGGAGTGTAAGGGGTACCCCAAGGGTCGGGGGAGTATATCGGGTGTAGCTAGGAGAACCCATGACAAAACTTATAGTACAAATGATGGTGGGCCATTTTCTCAAGGGGACCTGAAACGGGGCCATGTTTTTGACAGTTGCGCATGTGCTGAACTTTATAAGTCTCTAAGCTGAAAGTCCAAAGTGAGTTATAACTTATAACACTAAGACTTCAACCTCTTAAACCCTAACCATTATAATGAGGGCCTTCGAGGACGTATGTAATGTGTTTCTACAAGGGATGCAGGGACCCCAGGACTGAGGGCCCATAGTGGGGTTCAGGGTTTAGGATAGCCCTAATGTATTAAACCCCGGGCAGATTTTTGCGTGGGGAGCGATGCCGCATGTAGGTCGGATCATGTACTGGTGCGGGAAGACACAGGTGGCTCAAAATTGGGCTCCTTGCAAAGCTAAGGCAAGCTTCAACAGTTTTAGGTAGCCGTAATTAGTGGACGAAGAAGAAGTAGAAGAACAAGAGCAAGAATCAATAGTTCTATTACCTGCAAGGAGGGTGATAGTGCTCATTCTTAATTAGTCAGAACTATATATGGACCTCCAAGCTGGGCTAGTCAAAGCAGATGAAGTCCCTAGAAATCTCATTTCTCATCAGTTCAGTCCCTGCATAGGGGATATGAGGGTTTAGGGTTTAGGGTTTGGGGGCCTTGGAAACCTGAGATCAGCACTTGGAAGGAAGGGGCCTGTGAAGCTTGCAGTTGAAAGTAATCAGACAGTGGATGTCTAACAAGGTCTTCAGCCTCGAAAGTCCCCTTGATTCCATACGGGTTTATTCTCTAAGGCTTAGAGAATCTTGCCGTGAGCAGCTGAATCCTAATTTTGGGATTTATTCTCAGGGGATGACCTGGATTTGCTTAGGGACCCGAACACGACACGACACATGCCTAAGAGGACCTGCAAACATTGGCCTGGAGCTTCTTAGACCTTCTGAAGCAACACAACATCTAGTAATGCAAAGGTACTACTTATAGTCCTCCCTAAACAGATAGAATATGGATTGGACCATAACCATAATAAGATCTCCATATATCCCATAAACCCTAGACCCTAAACCCTACTTGAGGGGAAAAATGGTTTAGCGGCTTGACAGTTTGGGATCTTTGTGTTTACCCAGGACCCCAATGACGTACGGCTTGGTGGGCAGTACCCCGAAGTGCTGTCTTTCCCATAAAAGAGGGTACCTAAGCTTTAGGGTTTAGGGTTAAGTGCTTGCTTGCCCATAAAATGGTATCTAGGCCCCAGGCGCTCGAGCCTTACTCGTCTAAACCCAAGGTCAAGACTATAAATTTCTCAGCTCCCTTCCCTGCAGGGTCTTGGGGTCAGGTTCAGGGTCTGTGACCCTAGGAATATGTAGGGAGTATTAGGGCAATTGAGAGTCCTTCTCAGTGAGACGACTATAT